AAGTTTCCACAGTCACTGGGGTGTCATGTCATCTGCTGGTGTTGGTCAGCTGTGTTTTATCAAGGGCAGGGTCAATGCAGCTAGCTATCAGGAGATTTTGGAGCACTTCATGCTTCCATCTGCTGAAAAGCTTTATGGAGATGAAGATTTCATTTTTCAGCATGACCTGGCACCTGCTCACAGTAAGTAAGTAAGTAAGTAAACTTTATTTATATAGCACTTATCATAGATACAATCACAAAGTGCTGTACAACAATAAAAAATAAAAGCTTAAAATGAAATAAAATAATAACAACTCATTAATAAAAACAGTAAAAACAGCTGAAAAAAAACAGTAAAACATTTAACTAAAAGCTTGACGAAATAAAAATGTCTTAAGCTGCGTTTTAAAAGAATCAACAGAGTCGTTCACACGGAGAGACAGTGGCAGGGCATTCCACAGGCGGGGGGCTACGGCCTGAAAGGACAGGTCACCCCGAGTTTTAAACCGGGTCTTAGGAACCTTAAGAAGGTTCAGCGCTGAAGACCGAAGGGTGCGGGCTGGAGAATAAGGAAACAACATTTCAGTAATGTATTGGGGGGCCTGTCCATTTAAAGCTCTAAAAGTCAAAACTAAGATTTTAAAATTAATTCTAAATTCAACAGGCAGCCAATGAAGAGAAGATAAAACTGGTGTAATGTGAGCCCTTCTGTTCGTTCCTGTTAAAAGCCTCGCAGCAGAGTTCTGGACCAACTGGAGACGAGCGACGGCAGTTTTGTTAAAACAAGTAAAAAGGGAATTACAATAATCTAAACGAGAAGAAATAAAAGCATGAATAATCATCTCCAGGTCAGATCTGGATAACATTGCCCTCAGTTTAGAAATGTTTCTCAGATGATAAAAGCAGTTTTTTACCAGAAGCTTTGAATGTTTGTCCAAAGACATGAACTGGTCGAACAGAACACAGAGGTTTCTGAGGTTCGGCTGAGAAGAGGAGCCCAGAGAACCGAGGTGTTGTTTAATCCAAGGAACTTTCTGTTCAGGGGCAATGATCAGGGTTTCCGTCTTGTTAGAATTCAACTGAAGGCAGTTGTTAGCTAACCACGCCTTAATATGTGAAACACAGTTTACTAATTCAGCTAATTTATGTAATTCTGAGTCATAAAAGGAACAGTACAGTTGAATATCATCAGCATAGAGATGGTAAGACACATTTCTGAAGCTACTGATAATCTTTCCCAGGGGGGTGATGTACAGAAGGAACAGAATAGGACCCAACACTGAACCCTGAGGAACACCATTCAGTAACGGAGTGGTCTTAGACTGTATGTTATTAACAAACATTGAAAAGGTTCTGTTGCTCAGATAAGAAGAAAACCACTTAAGAACAGTTCCAGAAAATCCCATCTCATGTTGCAGTCGATGTATCATTATTTTGTGGTCGACTGTGTCAAAAGCTGATGACAGATCCAATAAAATCAAAACACTGCTCTGACCAGAGTCTGCAGCCATCAATATGTCATTGGAGACTCTTAATAAGGCAGTTTCAGTGGAGTGCATCTTGCGGAAACCAGATTGAAACTTATCAAGAATATTATTATTTTGCAAGAAAGTAGTCATCTGCCCAGCCACTAACTTCTCAAGAATTTTGGTGAGAAAAGGTATTTTTGATATTGGCCTGTAGTTGCAGAGCTCAGTGGGGTCCAAGTTGGGCTTTTTCAAGATCGGATTTAAAATTGTTTGTTTCAAAAAACTTGGAACTGACCCGGTTGAGAGAGAAATGTTAATTAATTCTGCCACATGGGGGCTGACAATATCAGACACCTTTAAAAACAGTGATGTGGGTACAACATCTAGCATGCAGGAAGAAGGTTTGATCTTTTTTAGAACAACCTTCACATCCTCTAAAGTGACAGGTGAAAATGAAGACCAGGGGCTCACTGTAGGGACAGAACTGGGGGTGACACCAAGAGCTGATTTAACACTTGCCCTGATGTTGTCAACCTTTTCCACAAAATAGTTTAAAAATCTATTGCAGTCATCTAATGTGAATACAGGCACCAGAGGGAGTGAAGGTGAAATCATATTATTAATGGTATCAAACAAGACTTTTGGATTTTTCTTGTTCATACTCACAAGATTAGAAAAATATGCAGACCTGGCCTGTTTAATCATATCATTTAGAGTTGAGATCAGCTCCTTTAAGTGTAGTCTGTGGACTTCAAGTTTTGTAGATTTCCACAGACGCTCTACCTTACGACATGATCTTCTGAACAACACAATTTCCTCATTTCTCCAAGGACAAGAGTTTTTACGAGAGGATATTTTGTGCTTTACAGGAGCAACCTTATCTAAGACAGACAGGCAGTGACTATTAAAAGACTCCACAAAGGAATCAGCATCACTGCAACTAGCGAAACAACTGGACTCAAAAGATTCTGAGAATTTCTCAACAGCAGATTGATTGATAATTCGCCTTTGAGAAATCACTTTATGAGGACAACTGTTGAGGTTAAAAGACAAATTAAAATAGACACAGCAGTGCCAAAACCACTGGTAAATGGTTTACTGACCATGGTATTACTGTGTTCAATTGGCCTGCCAACTCTCCTGACCTGAACCCCATAGAGAACCTGTGGGATATTGTGAAGAGAAAGTTGAGAGACGCAAGACCCAACACTCTGGATGAGCTTAAGGCTGCTATCGAAGCATCCTGGGCCTCCATAACACCTCAGCAGTGCCACAGGCTGATTGCCTCCATGCCACGCTGCATTGAAGCAGTCATTCATGCAAAAGGATTCCCGACCAAGTATTGAGTGCATAACTGAACATGATTATTTGAAGGTTGGAGTTTTTTGTATTAAAAACACTTGTCTTTCATTGGTGGGATGAAATATGCTAATTTTTTGGGACAGGCATTTTGGGTTTTCATGAGCTGTATGCCATAATCATCAGTATTAAAACAATTAAAGACCTGAAATATTTCAGATGGTGTGCAATGAATCTGAAATATATGAAAGTTTCATTTTTATCATTACATTATGGAAAAAATGACCTTTATCACAATATGCTAATTTTTTGAGAAGGACCTGTAATTGCTGCTAAACGTGGCTCTATAAGTTAAGTTATATCATATCTAGAGGAGTAAAATCTAGAATTGACAGGGAGTGCTTTCTTAATAACATCACTGTATTATTGTGTGTGCTTGTGACTTTGCCTTGAAATGGAAAGTTTGGTTTTTTTTGTGTCTGCAGATATTTGAACAGGTCCTCAGTGAGCTGGAGCCTCTGTGTCTTGCAGAACAAGACTTCATCAGCAAGTTTTTTAAGCTGCAGCAGCACCAGACGGTTATGCCCCCCCTTGCACAGGTACATCTGTTTTATTGGAAATTGCTGCAACATCCAAATGAACGATGTGATGTCACACAAATGGCTGTATTTGTGTGTTTGGAACAGAAAGATTCATATTTCATGAAAACGTAGACTAATGCAGTAACAGATGCTGTTCCATTTCGTCATTGTCTTGTTTGTGTTTGCTTGTTCCTTCAGCCTGAAACTGAGGAGTTTGATGGAAGTGCACCATCAAGAAGTCTTCCCCAGGCAGAACACAGACACTCCTTGTCATCGGAGTAAGCACTTTAACATATTTATTAACTGTTCTATTGTTAATGTTTCCTGTTTGCATATCAAAACGTTGTTCCATTGATCGTTTTTAATAAAGTTGTTCATGTTTTTTTTGGGGGGGACTAAAGGAAAGACATGGTGCGAATGATGATGAATAAAATCTTCCAGAACATCGAGCCAGAGCTCAACAGCCTGATCGCTCTAGGTGACAAGATTGACAGCTTCCACTCTCTGTACATGCTGGTGAAGATGAGTCATCATGTGTGGACAGCCGAGAACGTCGACCCGGCCTCCTTCCTCAGCACCACTCTGGGAAACGTGCTGGTCACCGTAAAACGAAACTTTGACAAGTGCATTGTGAGTAGAGTCAAAATAATTTCATGACATAAAACACTTGTTTTTTGTGTCATGTCTACAGATCAGAGCAGGGTTTGTGTCTAGGTATTGTGCAACATTTCAACCTGTTCTCTTGATACAGTCAGGTCAGATCAGACAGATGGAGGAAGTGAAGATTTCTAAGAAGAGCAAAGTCGGCATCCTGCCTTTCGTTGTCGGGTTCGAGGAGTTTGCTGAACTTGCTGAAACAATCTTCCGTAATGCAGAACGCCGAGGAGACCTCGACAAAGCTTACGTTAAGCTCATCAGGGCTGTTTTCATGAACGGTAAGCATACTGGTCATGGACCAGTAATGTGGACCAGTAAATGAGTCCTCGAGGCTCAATGGGATTAACCTGTCTAAATAAAGGTTGAATGAATTTAAATATAAAAAGGTGATGCGAGACAATGTATTAGCGATCGTTTCTCTTTTCAGTGGAGAAGGTAGCCAATGAAAGTCAGAAGACGCCACGAGATGTTGTCATGATGGAAAATTTCCACCACATCTTTTCCACACTGTCACGGCTAAAGATTTCCTGCCTGGATGCTGAAAGGCGGGAGGCCAAACATAAATATACGGACCACCTGCAGTCTTATGTAATCAACTCTCTGGGCCAGCCACTGGAGAAGCTCAATGTAAAAACATTTAGTATTTTAATTTTTACAAATCGCAGCATGATTGTATCAAATATGCAAAACAGCCAAAGTTAGAGGTGTCATCTCTGTTGCAGCATTTCTTCGAGGGTGTTGAGGCACGTGTAGCCCAGGGCGTGCGTGAGGACGAGGTGAGCTACCAGCTGGCTTTCAACAAACAAGAACTGCGCAAAGTTATTAAAGAGTATCCTGGAAAAGAGGTGAAGAAGGGCCTGGACAACCTTTACAAGAAGGTGGACAAACATCTGTGTGAGGAAGAAAGTTTGCTACAGGTGTGAATTTTAAATGTTTGTAAGATACAACTACTCATGCTACGTTCATCATGCTGACATTAAAGTGCTGCTCTTCTGCTCTAACTCCACCAGGTGGTGTGGCACTCCATGCAGGATGAGTTCATCCGGCAGTACAAGCACTTTGAAAGTCTAATAGGCCGATGCTATCCTGGATCTGGAATCACCATGGAGTTCACCATCCAGGACATGTTGGAGTACTTTTCCAGCATTGCTCAGTCTCATTAACATGGTTGCTGTTAATCTTTTACTACTGCTATACACTAACTATGGATGCATTATCCACCATATTTTTGAAACATTTCATGTATGCGACTGTATTTTATTGAAAGAGAACTTTACACTGAACAGCTGTCCTGATCGTGCAGCACTACTTGTGTGCCTGATTCTTGACTCAACAACTCTTCTTTACCTAGCAGTTCACCATGCTTTAGCTATACCTTTATGCCACATGTATATAATACATCTACAGTAGCTGTATCACTTAAATTATCACTTTGTTTTATTTACGTTAATAAAGACACAAGTCACTAATTGCATGAGCTGATTTTTAAGGCCTAGCATTCCTTGGAGGACTGCACATCACCCACCACTTCCAATTCAATGCAGTTCATTCATGTAGCACCGAGTCACAACAGAAGCTGCCACAGGCACTGAACAGAAACATTCACATGCATACAAAATTAGTAAAAGTTGTATCTAAAGCAGGAAGCCAGCAGAGTGTGTCAAATCTTCACTTGTCGCAGTCTCCCATTCTGAGAAAGCACTTTGAAGACAGTGGAAAGAAAAAACTCCCTTTGAACAGGAAGAAACCTCCAGCAGAACCAGACTCAGGACGAATGGCCATCTGCTTCAACCAGCTGGGTTTGAGAGGACAGGAAGGACAAACAGAACGACAGGTCCAGATGTACTTTCTATAGGAGAAAAGATAAAAAGCATGTTAAGAGAGAAATAATTACAAATGCAAACAAGCAGAGTAGAGTAAGTAAATTGACACTTTCTCACTCTCTACCGTCTTAAGACGGTAGAGAGTGAGAAAGTGTCAATTTATCCTCCAGCAGTCTAAGCCTATAGCAGCTAAGGGATGCCTCAGGAAACCCAAGCAAACATTTTAGGCTAAGATCATCTTCTGTGGGAAGTGTTGGGAGTTGTTGGTGTTTTAGTGAAACTCTAAAAGATAATGCTGTGAGAGAGCTCATGCTTACAGTTTGTGTTGGGGGTGATTTTTAGCTCGCTGTTAAAGCCAGACCTGCCATCTTTGTGTGATTGATTTTGATCAGCTTAGAGGCCGTCTGAAAATACATTCACCCTCTGAAGTTAATAAAATGTAAAATGACATCCAGTGATGATTTTATAAGGGTTTAACCAAAATCCCCTTTTGGTTTAGGAGACATTTTGCTGACAGACACAGGCATAATAAGGGGTGCAATAAATATTGATTTCGACCCCACCGCACTGACGCACACGGGCAACGCTGGTGAACAAAACATGCCGCCCCCACTTCCATAGTGACGAGTTCCAAACGCATCATCGGCGCCCTTTTCAAACTCCTTTACCGCGGAAACATGTTAACCTAAGAGTTCACCATCACATTAAATGATTCGTAACGTAGATACAGTCTGTTAATGAGGTCGGCACGAGTAATTTGTCCAAGTGACGTTTATTAGCGCTGTAGCGTTACGCTGACTGTTGTTTGGCTAACACGTTAGCCGCTACACACCAGTGTTGTCCAGCAGGGTAAGAAACGAGTTGAATTCATTTAACATCAGCTAAATGAGAGGCGAAACTAGAATTAATCAATATGCAGCAAATAAAGTTTCAATATTTCAGTATCAAGAGTCTTTTGTTAGCTTATACCCGTTAGCTTAGCAGACATCATCTGTAGGTGTAAATGTTATGTTCATGCTAACTGTTAGCACAAGGCTGGTACGTTTTATTCGCTTTTGGCTGTTTTGTAGTTTGTTGCAGCTTCACAACATGAACAGCAGCGCCGAGAGGAAATTCATCAATTTGCGGAAACGCCTGGACCAGCTGGGCTACAGACAGCCTCTTGGAATAGACTCGCTGCCGCTTGTGGAAAGGTTGTTTAGGTAAAACCCTTGGGCCTCCTGCATCTGTTAGCCCTATCTAATGACGTCTAGATCTGTTAGCCCTATCTA